TCAAAGCTTTGGCCACATTTCTTGATGTTTTCTCTTCCCTTGACTTCTGTGACTGTCTGCTCCTGGTTTTCCAGTTTAGAATTCTGTGAATCTGATGGGGGTTCCCTTCTCTTTTCCCTCTACACCTTCCCCAGAGATAATCTCATCTGCAAATAAAAGCTATCACTCTTTAGGCTGGCAACTCACAGATCTACCTCTACTCCAGACCTGTCTTTTCATCCACACACAGTCTCAGCCCATTTGACACCTTTTGGAGTTTGGCCATTGGCTCCAGCTCAACGTGGCTAAAATGGAGTTCCTCATCTTTCTCCCCAACCTCTCAATCCCTATGGCTAAGACCACAATTCTACCCATATCTCAGGCCAGTAACCTGGGTGCCTTTAGAAGCTGCTCAGGGGTTTGGAACCATTGGCAGCAGCGCGACATGGCTTAATCAAGTCAAGTAAGCTAGTGGAAAACTGATTGATCAGTTGTAGAACTGGAGCAGGATTTGTCCAGGGATCAAGCCAGACCCACGGCCTTGCTGGAAGATGCACATGACTGCACATCTACTAGAGTTTTGTCTATGGACCTTGCTCAGGGCTCCGCTGTTTGTAATAATGGCAATGTGATCTATCCGAAGCCCACAAGCACTCCTCTTGCAGCTGGAAGGGAGGAGGAATTATTTGTCGTCTCTGGTTTAACCCAGGTTTCTGAATGGGTGTAGCTCTTCTGAGCTTTTATCCCACTGTGAGTGTATTTTGGACTTCCGTGCCAGCCTTTACTGTTGCTCAGAGCTTTCCCAAGATGCAGGGGAGTGAAACTGACCTGAGACGTGTCTGTTTCACTGCTGTACACAAAGGAGAGAGAAGACTAGTCAGCTTTCATTGTGCTAGAGCCTAGGCACAGGAGCCGTTTGCAGACTCAAGGCAAATGCTCGGCCATCACTCTGGTTCCTTTTGAAAGTTTTGCTTCACCTGTAAGGGCCAGATTTCTTCTGTTTTTAAAGAACAGATCTTCCAGAGCCAATAGCTCCCACCTATCCAGGTGACTAACTGCGGCAAGTGACTGGATGCTGAGATTTTTGCATGCACAAAAAAGGCACGGAAGGAAGTGACTTATCAGAGCTGGGCATTCTTAAATGTGTTATGAAAGATCAGAACCGTGGTCTGTGCTAGAACCCGTTTCCATACAACAATTCCTTGGCAGTGACTGCAGAAAGTGAAGCCAGACTGTTCTGGTTTAAAACCAGTCCTTAGTAATGGGAGCCGAGCATTGCAACTGCACTGTCTTTGTGGAGCTCTTGATAAAGACAGTTGTAGGAAAAATGGCTTAGCCCTGGATAATTTTGCCCAGTGCATCAGCATAAAACAAATATATTTGCAGGCATATTTCATTGATGGGGGGTGACTTTAGAAATCTTGCCATCCACTTCTGGCCCTATCAATGACTGAGATTTAAAACAAAGTCAGTCATATGAAATGGGTTTCCATCAATTCAAACCCATGCTCCCTTTACAGCATCTCTTGCGACCGAATGCTCAATGGACGTGCCAGCTTGGTTATGACAGCTCATCACAATGATAACAAAACCCCCACAGCTTGTTTCTCCAGTAAAAGGCTGAGGACCTCGCCAGGTAAGGATAAACACAGCTTTTCAATGTGAGGTCTGGTTCCCCCGGGGAGCATGTTGCAGAAAGCATGAAGGCGCAGCTGAGGGAGGAAGGGGTATACAGCAGCACTGCCGACTCTGGCCAGATACTGCCCTAACATAGCAGGGGAGAGACTGGCTGTAGTTTCCAAAAGGGGGCTCAGATTTCAGAAAGCCTGCTCTAGTCTGTACATATATCATAGCCACGTCTGATGTCTTGCCCTTGTAAGCCAAAGGCTTCTAAACTCCGGCATCAATACTCATCAGACCCACAGGGCCTGTTCGGACAGCAATGGCCATGCATGCGCCCGCAGGGAGCCATAGGCTATGGGGCTCTCATCCTGAAGATGAGTGAACTAGTGGGCTGCTTGCTGGTTGTGCTGTGCCATCAGCTGCCCTTGAGCTCTAATGGGAACCACCCGAGTCTCCTGAAGGAGTGAAAATTCTGTTACCCTCAAGCTGAGTCAATGGAAATCTCCATCCATCATCTCTTTAAAAGCTGTGCCCATGATCCCAGCGCTCCTGACAGCTCACCGACAGGATGGAACCACAGGGGAGATGGGGCAGAAGTTCAGGGCACATGGAGGTGGCTAAGCTGACCATTCACGTTCAGTCTTGGGGCTTTGCCATCAAGGGAGGTGCAATCTAATGGCTTCATTGTGGGCCGCACAAATACTTCAACTGGTTCATAAGAACGGCCGTACTGGGGCAGACCAAAGGTCAATCTAGCCCAGTAGCCTGTCTGCTGACAGTGGCCAGCACCAGGTGCCCCAGAGAGGGTGGACTGAAGACGATGAAGAGATTTGTCTCCTTCCATCCCTCTCCAGCCTCTGACAAACAGAGGCCAAGGACACCATTTTATCCCCTGGCTAATAGCCTTTTATGGACCTAACCTCCAAGAATTTATCCAGCTTCTCTTTAAACTCTATTATAGTCCTAGCCTTCACAGTCTCCTCTGGCAAGGAGTTCCACAGGTTGACTACACACTGTGTGAAGAACTTTCTTTTATTAGTTTTAAACTTGCTACCCATTAATTTCATTTGGTGTCCTCTAGTTCTTCTATTATGGGAACTAATAAATAACTTTTCTTTATCAGCCCTCTCCACACCACTCATGATTTTATAGACCTCTATTGAATAAAGATATATTTAAGCACCTGCGAGCTTGATACACTGGCCAGTGTTCGGGATTAAATTTTCACAATCATTGTAATAGAAAAACATTCTTTACTCTGCAAGGGTATGTCTACACTACAAAGTTAGTTCGAACTAACGGACGTTAGTTCGAACTAACTTTCATAGGTGCTACACTAGCGCTCCGTTAGTTCGAATTTAATTCGAACTAACGGAGTGCTAGTGTAGCACCTATGAAAGTTAGTTCGAACTAACGTCCGTTAGTTCGAACTAACTTTGTAGTGTAGACATACCCTTGCAGAGTAAAGAATGTTTTTCTATTACAATGATTGTGAAAATTTAATCCCGAACACTGGCCAGTGTATCAAGCTCGCAGGTGCTTAAATATATCTTTATTCAATAGAGGTCTATAAAATCATGAGTGGTGTGGAGAGGGCTGATAAAGAAAAGTTATTTATTAGTTCCCATAATAGAAGAACTAGAGGACACCAAATGAAATTAATGGGTAGCAGGTTTAAAACGAATAAAAGAAAGTTCTTCTTCACACAGCGTGTAGTCAACCTGTGGAACTCCTTGCCAGAGGAGGCTGTGAAGGCTAACACTATAAGGGTATGTCTACACTACAGAGTTAGTCCGAACTAATGGACGTTAGTTCGAACTAACTTTCATAGGCGCTACACTAA